CCCCCCCAAAAAAAAAAAAACCGCCCCACTTTTTCCTTCTACTTGATACCCACACTATCAATTTTCAATCACTTTTTGAACCAAGTGCAAATTTATTCAACAAACAAAGTCATACAAAATTACAAACAAAGTCAATTTTCAATCACTATTCTCTTAAACTTTGTGGTCACATTGAAGGTCATTATTTTTCTTCTTAAACACTGAAATCTTCTCTGTCAAGAACCAAGTGGGACGGAAGGAGTACTATTTTTACCTGAGTCCATAATAAAAGTAGAAAGCCTTTAATTGAGGTGATGAGAGTGGGAAGTCTGGACTATATATAAAATCTATAATAGCAATTTAAAGCTTTTAGATAATATGCTAATATCTAATATGAATTAAATATAGTTTAAAATAATTAAATATTATAAAATTTGATATTTCAAAACTATATTTTAAAATAAACCCAATTTTACTAAAATTATGTTATAACTAAATATTTTTTTCTATATTTCGTGGTCAAAGGGTGCCACAGTTTGACCAAAAAAGTCAAACTGTGGCAATCTTTTAGGGACGGAGGGAGCACTTTTGTTTAAGTTGGGTATCTAAGATTTTGATATAGAAGAAGTTAGGAGACCAGTTACTGGACCGTGTTTAATAAGTTGATTTAGGTCAAATCAAGCTTGATCAACATGACATTAATCACCTGGGAGAACTAGAATAGTGAGTTGGACTGAATTTTTCATGTCAAAACTGAGATTTGCAAAGCTGAGTAATCAATTATGTGATTGATCTGTCAAAGCATATCCTTATTAGGTATTTTCACACCCTACGTCAACCCAATTGTGGGCATCATTTGTGTGAAGCTCCTATTGAGCTATTTGTTCTTTCACCAACACAACAACTATCTTGAGTGGTGTTCACCTTTTGCTTTGTTGCAACTGGTAAACACTACTGCATGCTACCTTGAATCTTATGCTTTGTTGGCCACATGCAACCTTGTTTGTTCTTCAGGTGACCTTCAATTGTTCAACACCTTATGGGTTTTTTTCATCAGGGCTTTCTATGCAGCACAGTTTACTACTACATCACAAGTAACTATGGTAGTCATTAGCTTCAACAAGTGTCCCTCATTAATCATCTGCTTCAGGCTTCAGCAATTGACTGTGATAGTATTTGGCATTTAACTCAAGGTTTTGCAACAACAAGCATGTGTAGGCACTTTATTTATTTTATGTTTGAGTTTTGATTGATTTTTCAGGCTTTTGTAGTGAGCCAGGGACAACATTTTGTTTCTTTTATGTGCCAACCCCAAGTTACTTGAGATAAGACTTTATTGTGGTTAGTAGTAAGCGAGGGACAAAGTTTTGGTTGAAATCATTTTTTCCCTTTTTCTTTTCTTGTATATGAGACTATGAGTTCTTAGGCTTCCGCTTGTTGATGCCACGTAGGTTTTAAAATAATTTCATTGATTTAAACCTCTGACTAGCCAAGGTGTGGCAATGTTTCCAAGCATTATATAGTGTATTTGACTAGTATTTTGAAAATGATATCCTCTCGTGTTGGTAACCATAATTAAGGATTTAAGGCAATATTATTGCTATATGGTTTTGAAGGTCGATGATGCAATTGCATTTAAGGGTTGGTCCGCTATATTTGGTGTCTTTTTGCATCCCTTATAACTTCATTTTTAGACTTTTCAACTTCTCCTTTTCCTTTGTCATTTATCCCTTGTGAAGATTTCCAAGTGCTGTAAAATCTCGAGGAGCAAGCTTGTTCTCTTTGTTTGATCTTATTGGTTCTGATCTGAATTTATTAAGTTTTCATTTGATTCTTTCTGACATCGCTCTGACAATTCCCGTACCTAAGGTTTTTCTGTATGTCCCGCATGGCACAAGTTTGTCCATTTCGTGCCCGAGGTGATTTTGACCCTATTTTCAAGCATGTGACTCTCGGTTTGTCCCGGTTTTGAACCTTAAGACTTTTCTCGTGTCTAGGGGCGTGTTTGTATGTCTTTACTCACCTTTATTATGTCCCAGTATAATAACAACTCTATTGGGGTCCCATGGTCAAGATGTAAGCAACCACGGCCCTTTAAAAAACAGAGAGGATGTCCTTTTAACCCTTGATGCATTGCTGCATTTACTACCCACACTTCATAGAAAGTAAGGACCAATGGAATTTTTATCTATCATTTTGATTTAGTTTGCTATATGCACAAAGCTAAAACATTGTCAAAATTGACTTGTCGCTCCATTGGCATGTGACGCAATGTTGATCCTTTGGAAACGGGAATATTTGAATGTAAAAACATTGTGATGCTTCAGTTCATATCAATTCAGATCACTTTTGGAAGGCTCAAGGGACTGAATTCTTCTAAATACATAGGATTGAGTTTGACACATCAAATCAGAATCAATTTACCACTCAAAGAGATAAACCTCAATTCCCATCCTTGAATGTTCTTAGCTATTTTTTAAAGCAACTCGTTGAATAAAATGATCTTCTTTAAGGATTTTGCTACTGCATATTTCTATTTAAGACCTATTATGCAAGAAGCATTCTTGACTTCTTGAGGAATTCTAAATCTCCATTTCTTGATTTTTGGGGGATAAAAAACTTCATGTGTAATAACAACACTTTTGACATTTCGCAGATGATTATCGTCTGTTTTGTGGCGATCTTGGAAACGAGGTGAATGATGATGTTTTATCAAAAGCATTTTCAAGATTCCCTTCTTTTAACATGGCTAGGGTGAGTTATCTTGGAAGCCATATCTACTTCTCTGTGGTTCTATAGTGTTTTTGCATGGCTGATGTCTCACTTGCATTAAAGAAACAGAACTTGGAACTTTTTTTTTTCATTCTGAGTTGCCATGAGATCTTATAAAACTTGAAGTGAAATAGCATTGCAGAAACTTATGCATCAATGAAGATAAGTGGTGGTTAGTTTCTTACAATTTAATTATGTGTTGGATTATAATTATGCTTGAATGCTAGTGCCCACAATAGGTTTGACTTTTTTTACAGGCTAGGAAAAATGTTTTCACAGTTTTAGGCTTTTAGCTTCAGGTAAAAAAATAGTCTAAATCAAAATGGCACATTAAACTTTCCATGCTTCTTACTTTTATGAAGTTTTGGACAATAAAATAGTAAATGCAACACTGCATAAAGGGCATGGTTTTAAAAGGCGACCAAGGCGGTGAGATGGTTGCATTTCGCCTCTGAGGCTTGGATACAATGTTGAGGCGGAAGGGGCGGACCCACGTTGAGTCATACGGGCTCACGCGTCCCCACGGAAATTTTGTAATTATATATATATATATATATATATACACACTTATTATTAATATATATCTAAAAAACGTGTTTTGAAGTAGTTCTAGAAGTAGCCTGAATGGAAAATGCGTCCTTTTCTGTCCTGAACATCTTGGGTTCAAAACTCCCTGGCGTAGGGTCCTTTTTGTTTTTTGCTATTTCGGTCAAAATCTCCACTTTTTGTGTATTTTTTTCTTCCTCTTTAAGAGGCAGTTTTTTAAAACATTATTGAATGTGAATTGGATATATGGATTTGTTATTTGTGAATTGTGAACTTTGAAATATATTTTTTTTAAATTTTCAATTTGTGAATTAGATCTATATTTTGCAAACATTCTTCTTTTGTTTTTTCGAAATCTCCATGCTAAGGCTTGTTTTTTGTGTATTTTTAATTCTTCACTCTTCAAGAGATTATTTTTTTACATGATTGAATGAGAATTGGATATTTAGACATACTAAGGCTCGTTTTTGTGTATTTTTTGTTCTTCACTCTTCAAGAGATCATTTTTTTTAACATGATTGAAAGAGAATTGGATATTTGGATTTTTTATTTGTGAATTGTGAATTTTTAAATTTATTGTTTTCAATTTGTAATTTATGAATTACATTTACATTTTGTAACATCCTGAATATGTTAAAAATGTTTGGTTTTGTTGTAAATTTATAATGTTTGTAATTATTTAAATTTCAATATAGGAGGCAAAGGTATTATAGTAAATCACTTTCAAAATATGAAAACTAGACTTTCAAATAAGTATTTTATATTTTTAATGAAAGACTATTATTAATTTGTGATCGTTATGGTATATGTGAACTTTAATATTAAATATTATGAAGTATTTTTATTTAGTTTTAGCTTGATATGAATTTTTTAAATTGCGACCCCATGGTTCAAGTGTTATGGGTCCGCCCCTGTGAGGCGGTCCGAGGCGGTAAGGCGTAACCGAGGCGTAAGCCTCAATTTAATAAGAATTCAACAATTATAAGTGTTATTTTTAAAAATTTATTAGACCTTTTTCACAAAAACTCTTTTGGACCTGTGCACTGTATAGTTTCTTAAGAAAAACTTAATAAACCTAGTAGATAATTAACACTTCTTTCCCAGACGTAGGCATCAACTTCCCTCTCTCCATCTTCAACCGTACTTATCTCCATATTCAGACTTCAGTGACACTGTTTCTCTTTCTTGCCATAGTGGCTAAGGCGATTGCTTCATATTTTAATCACCTTCTATTTCTTTCATCTCTTTCTTTCAACTTTTAATTTTTTCGGTTCCTTCATTTTCCAACTTCCGTCTCCCTCCTTTAAATTTAGTTCAAACTTCAAAAAATGATGTAACTTTTTTTGTGTGAACTTTTGTCCATATTTAATATTTATAGGGTTTGATGATGTATTTGAGACATTTGTGTTTTATGTTACTTTTAAGGCATTTTGCTCCATTGCCTTGAGGTTAGTTTTAGTATTTTTTTTATATTTTAGTATTATTTTTTTAATATTTAACTGAGGCTTACGCCTCGAGGCATTTTGCTCCACTGCCTCGAAGTTAGTTTTCACCTTTCAAAACCTTGATCAAGGGTCTAACAAAACAACCCCTTTGTTTTTTAAAGGGGTGAGATTGTGTGTATACCCTAAGCGAGTTGAGATTATACTCGGTTTGTTGGAGTAGAAAAGATTCAAATTTGTAGTGTTTCAATATTTTGTTGTGATTGGCTTGCTGATTTCTGTTCTCTGTCAATATGTTGTCTTAGTCCTCAAAAGTAAAATTGTGTATTCTTTCATTAAGTGTTGGGGCATGTGGTTGTTTTATCATCACCACCGCCATCATCGTCCTCACTATTGGCATGACAACACCTTAATCCTCGATTAGTTGGGGTTGGTGACAGTAAATTTATAGCTGTAATCAATTGTACAAAACTACTTCACAAAAATTCATGAAAAAAATCATGGCAGTGTTATCAATGGACAACGTATCAAGGTTCTAACGAAAACAGCCTCTGTGTTTTTACGGGGTAAGGTTGTGTACATCTTGACCCCCACCCCCACCCAACGAATTTCGGATTATCTTGGGTTTGTTGTTGTGTCATTCGGCCTTTTGATTAAGTAGGAATAATGAGGTGAAAATTCTGTCATTATCATCAAAGGCCGTAGGTTACTTATGTATGTGGTTGTTCGCATCTTGTAATAATCTTTGTGTGGATGCTCAATCATCAATGCAGGTTGTGCGTGATAAGCGAACTGGTAAAACTAAAGGCTTTGGATTTGTAAGTTTTTCAAACCCTTTGGACCTCGCTGCAGCCCTTAAAGAAATGAATGGTACGTAATATTTGCAAATCTACAGATTTTTGAATCTATTTTTGTGTTTCTGATGGGGTCCCCTGTAGCACTGTCTTAAAATTATCCGATGCATGCGGTCTCTTAAAGGAGTGTGGTGTAAGAGGTCCATTTAAACTGAGGAGTCTAAGTGATTATTGTCTATTGGTTCCTTTGTTATGACTTGCACAATTTTAATTTCAGGTAAATATGTCGGGAATAGACCAATTAAACTTCGCAAGAGCAAGTGGCAGGACAGGATTGATGTTGAAGCTTTAGAAAGACAAAAGGTACAAGTCTATTCGACAACATTGTCTTTTGTTCTTTACTTCTTTCTCACGTCTCCCCCCTTAGAAACCTTTGCCTATATTTGGAATGCAAAAAATATTAGGAAAAAAAAAGCTATGGAAAATATCTCTTATACTTTTTGTTTTACCTTGGAAAATACAAAACAAACTAAAATTTGATTAAAATTGTTAAGACTTTACATATGTTTATACTTTATACAGAGTATTTCTTAGTCTTTATTTGATAGATTTAAATAAAATGAGTTTGTATAGATATCTAAACTTCATGCATCGAGTTTGAACCAAACTTTTGTCAACAACGACAACACAGTTGAATCCACCAGAGTAGTTTTTGGGGAGGGTGTGTGTATGTAGACCTTATCTTGCTTGAAAGTATGGAGGCTGTTTCCAAGAGACCCCTCTGCTCAAGTAACAGAGGCAGCAAGTTGAGCACCTAAAGTGCATAGAGCACATAACACGGAGGAGTAGCAAAGAGCAGACTAAATTGTACGGAGGGAAATGTAGCACACCTTAGAACCAAAGTTTCGCATTTCTCCTAAATTGTCTTTCCTTATTTATTTTCTTTCCCTAGCATTGAATTCCAAACTGGCCCTAAAAAGAGTGGATTTTTCACTATCCTTTTTTCCTTCATTGTAGTCCTATGATAGGTTTTATACACTAACACGCCCCCTCACGTGCAGACAAGATTTATTTTTGCTCGAGCCTTGCATGTGAAAAATATTATTTTTGAAATTGCGTGGCAGTGAGGTTCGAACTCGTGACCTCTTGGTCAACTAGGCTCTGAAATCATGTCAAGGAACCAATTCAATCATAGTCTTTGTGGTTGTAGGCCCATGATATGTTTTATACTCTACACCTACCCTTCCCAACCGCATGTTTTGAGAGTCATGTCATATTACCATCCCATGAGAATGTAACGGGAGGGGAACCAACCTTGTCATGTGTTTCTGTACTTGGATTATGATAATAACTGTGAAATCTCTTGATAGAACCACTCTCAGAAGAAGGGGAAAATGGCGAGGAAGAGTATATTTCACAAGTGAGCATGTTTATGAAGTTGAGCTCTGACTGTAAGAAACATGGTGGGATTGTATTGCCCTCATACCTTTCCTCACATGAATGACATGGAGTTTGTGCACTTTCTGATAGTTTCTGTTCTATATTCATTCATCCTCTTTGGGGACACCATATGAAAGCTGTACTTGAGAGCATGCAACCTCATATTGTGTACTGGGATGAGAAGACGTATTTGACCATTTCGTTTACGTCCAGCTATTCCCTAAATCATCTATATGTATATTTGTGCTTTTTTTTTATAAATATTTGTAATTTCCATATTGTTACTCTAGTTGGTTGTCATTTCTAACTAGTGCATCACTTCACTGCTCCCCTTGTGGTTCAAGGCTATGATGTTTTCATGTGTGTTTGTGTGTCAATATTCTAACACTGCTCCTTGGTCTCATAATATGACACCAGTGAGTTTGAGAATTGTATAGTGCTCTGTTGGGTTTGGAATCAAGTTCCCAATTTTTTACCCATTGTCAAAATTTTGGCAATGGATTGTTACCT